GAAAAGTCAAATGAATGTGATGGAATGAAACACCCTTGTATATTCCCCCCACTTAAATGATATTTTGGCAAGAATAAATAATTAAAAAAAAGAGAGTAAAGACTTTGATGAGGGGGAAGCTGAGAGACACAAAGCCCCAGAAAGGCGGCAGGAAATTAAAGTTAATTATAAAGAAGGATTAATTTAAGCCATCAGACATAGCATGCTGGGCTAATGTCAGGCCTCAAATGCATTGCAGTGCATGACAGAAATGTAAGAGCCGTCAGCCACTGCAAAAGTGGCTTTTTATTGAAAAACATAAATTGCATTTGGTGTTATCCCAGCAAAACACATGTCTGAGGGGAGGCAGCCATGCTGTGCAATGACCATTGGCTCGAAGCATGTAGGAACAGGCTCAGCATCTCTCCTTCCTTGCCCACTGCCCTGCTCCCACAGCCAGGCTGGAGCTCCTGGTCTTGTTTTTGAGTCTCTTCTGATCAGCATTTGCTGATTCCTCTGAAGGATGAGTACAGGGCTGCCTAGTCATCTTTATCACACTTAATTTGCTAACACCAGCCCTGTCCTGGGCTGTTCCTCGGCCTCTTGTCCCTCTGCCCAGAGCTGCTCACTGCTCAGGCAGGACAGAGGCTGTGGGTGCTGCTCTGGCAGCTCCTCTCCTGCCTTCACAGCTTGCTTTTATTTATTTATTTTTAGCTAGTTGCAGAAACTTTCTTCTTTCCCACGCCCTGGAGGCTGTGGCTGCCAGGTTGCTGCAGGAGGGCTCCCACGGTGCAGCTTTGCTCCAGCCCTGTTCCCTGCCGCCTTGCTCCCATGTGAGGTACCACTGAGCCCCATCCCAACCTGTTGCTGAGGCACAGTGGGTCCCTGCCACGCTTTGTGCTGCACTGAGATGTGTAGAAAGTTTAGAAGCCTAAAAATCAAGTGTTGCGTGGCCACAGCGTGGGTTGGCTCAGCCTGCCCTGGACAGCACAGCCCCTTCCCCTGCCTTGGTCCTTCCCTAACCAGACACGGCACTTAGCACAGGCACCCCCGTCTGCCTCTTTCCAGAGAGGTCCTTTAGAAGAGCTGTAGAGGACAACAGGTCTATGGCACACCTTAGACAGTCTTAGCTCAATCTTCTGAGCTGGGCCATGGCAGGTGGTGCCACCTCTCTGCTCTCCTGCTGCCCCCAGCAGCCCTCGGGGGGGAACTTGTTGCAAACACTGAAAACTTCTTTGCATTTAAATAAGGGACTTACTGGGGATTTTACACCCCACTGGGATCCTGCTTCATCACCACAGCCCTGCTCTAAAGGGCTCTTGCAGCTCTGTGTGACTCAGTTTTTAAGTGAGCTCGATGCCATCTCTGTGCCTGCTCAGCAGACTCACCTACCTGCTCCGTGCCCCTCCTACCCCAGCACCTCAGCAGTGTTAGCCTTGCTGCCTAATAAAATAAGGCAAAGATGAAAAATAAGGTAAAGATGAAGCCAGACACTCAGAAGAAAGGGCTGGTGCTAGAAGCTGTGCCTTCTGGACAAGCCTCTGTGGTCACTTTGAAATCCAGCAGCACTTTCTCAGCACTGTTTATGGTTTATTGATGTCTCTGTGCTGCTGCTAATGCAGAGGAGGTTGCAAAAAGGCATCTTAGCTTTTACAGCAGATAGACCCATTACCAGAGTTTGTAAAGCATTAAAGCAAATAATTTTTACTTTCTGCCCTCCCATCTCACTGTTTTTATTGTCACTTCTCAGAGGGACTTAACGCGGAATATGTGAAAGGAGAAAACATGGAAGCTGTTGTAAGCGAGGAGCCCCAAGGTGAGACCCTTCCCCTGTCTGCAGCCAGCACAAAAGCAGCTTCAGCTCAAAGCCCCTCGTGCTGTACTGAGCTGCCCTGTCTCTCTGATGAAGACTCCACTTAGGTGGTGCTGCAGCCTTTCTGTGAAACACCCATCACAGTGTTTCCCCCAGTTATTGCACACAAAGGGAAGCCATGGTAGGAGACCAAGAAGCTCATGCTGCAAACAGTGACAAGTTCATGTTTAGCTTTCACGTTTTCAGCCACCGAGAATGTACAGGAAAAGCATGATCCTTCTTTCAGTGACAGATAATCAAGGCTGATGCAAGGATTTTACAGTATCACATACAACCAACCAGCACTGGCCACCCGTTGCTTGCTCTCCACTCCCATCATGTGCTGTTGTACTCATGATTTCTTTTATTTTTTTCTCCCTAGTTAAATATTCAGTACAGGAAACACAGTCAGCACAACCACCACAGCAAGACAGTGTGAAGATGTAAAGTGTGGCCCAGGGCTAGAGAAGACTCAGCAGCAAACGGAGATCTTACATGCTGTAATTTAGCTTTTTATTTAATTTGACTCCAAAGCTATTTAATGTGTACTTAGGCTTGAACTGGCTTTGTATTGCTCTAGGCTTTAGGTGAGCGTGGCTGTATGTGTTTATTTTTTGTCGAGGTATATGTTTACATCAAATTAATATAGTAGGTTTGATGTCCAGTTGTATGCAAACCAATAGAAGGTGCTTCAGTAGTGGTCAGTTTTCAATTAAGGGAGAAAGTCTTTTTCAAGGAGCTCACAGGTGTGAGGGCAGAGAAGTGCCTGTAAATAGCAACCAAAGCAAAGCATCCAAAGCCCTTTGTAAAGCCCCTCCAGCCAACCTGGGCACGTGCACATTTCTGGAGGGTAGATTCCAGTCCTTCCTGTAGCTACACCTGAAAAATGAAGTGCCTATGGTAGGTCCTGAGCTGGGGCCTTGGGCTGAGGCAGGTGTCTCCCTGCTCCAAAGCCAGGAGTTGAGGATGTTTCACCACCATGCAGTGCTGGGTTTCTAACCACATAAAAGGACCTGATTTTCATGCCAAGTCATAAATGCAGGTAATATCAGGGTACAGAGTGTTCACTTTTAGCAAATCTCATTTGAATGCTTGGCTGTGCTAGATAAGAATGGAGCTGAACCTGCCAAGCCATACAATGTCTGTGTGACATGAGACCTATATTGTCACTGAAATCAAAACTCTGTGTGTTCCAAGGACAGGGCCAGATCTTATTCACACAAGAACAAATTACAGATTTAACCCGAAGGAAAATACATCACGTAGGCATTGACTAAGCCTTGTAACACTCCCTGTCACAAGAGAAGTCAAGCTTTAACAAGCCACAATCCCCCCACCTTCTCCTCCAACCATTAACACCACTATTGAGAGCACCCCCTGGCACCTCAGGCAGAAAAAGTATTTAAAGCTTCGTACTTTCTGTTACCAACTAACCTTTAAGAAAAGCAGAAGCTCCTGAGAGGATGGGTCCTCCATCACCATCCTGCATGGAATTCCTGCAGCTTTCTGGGAAGCACGGGACTGCAAGTGCTCCTCAGTGGGACCCTGGGCTGCCACCAGGACAGCACCCTGATCCATCTGTCCTTTACTATGTGGCAAGAGTTTGTCTGTATAGTTTTAATCCTGCCCCAGCCCTTTCTTCTTGCTGCTAAAATGTGGATACTATACATTTAACCAAATCCATGATGGCTCAAAAAGCATGCTCTGGCCTGAAGGAAAACACACTTTGCGTGCTGTTTATATATAAACCTGAAATGTGTGCATTTTGTACTGTTTTGCAAATACTGTATTTTGTGAATGTATGGTAAAAAAAACACAACATTTTCAGTTTGATGTACAAATTCACAGCTTTCAGGTAGACACAACTTACAAAAGGCCCTGCCGGGAGGTGAAGCAGCCCAGGAGCACTGCTGCCTAACAGCTCCATTTGAAAGGAAATTGCCTTGTAACATGGTTAAGTATTTTGCAGTTCTTCACAATTCTTAAAGCCTTAAGACTTAAGAGCAGTTTTGTAAGGGAGACAAGTTCCAGGGATGTAACGGTGCCTCCCGTGTATCCAGAACACTTAGGCTACAATACTGCTAGAAACCACTGCTGCTTTGTTTTATTTTAAAACAAAATTAATCAAAATATTGGCTGCTCAGAGAATGGAAGCAGAGGAAATAGAGATGGAATACACTCTGTGTTTGCTTACTGCCCAAGAAGGAGTCTCATGGAGGAAGAAGCGTGGTCTGCAGGATTGGGATCATCATGTGCAGGAGCTCAGGTGCTGAGTTTGTGCATCTCCATTCCCAAGCACCACTGTCTGCTTTTCTGTCTTAGCCAAACACATTTGGAAGCTACAGCATGAAAAATGTTTTTAGAAAGTTACTGTAGGTGAAGTGTTACAAGATGGCATTGACCATCACTAGGAGCTGTTTTCCTAGCTTTGATGAAGTGACTCTAATTCCATTTCTTCTTCTGTGGATGCCCAGGTTTGCTGCAGGTGCAGAGCATTGGGTTTATTGCATTTCTGTTTCTGTGCCCTCCCTGTTTGTCTGGTGGACAGTGCAGTGGGGTGTCCAGCATTGCTTAAAGAATGCAGCACCAGCCCCTCTTCTGGGAAATCCGTACACTAGAACAGCTGAGAACCGTGTCTAATTCACAAACACTACACTTTAACAACCAACCAAAACCAACCAACCACAAAGCTGTTTCACTGAAACAAAAACACCCCAGTTTTCAGAACTCAGAAGTTGCTCCTTTCCCAAAGGCCTTTGTGGAACTTCGGTGAACACTTACACCTTAGTGTGATTTCTAGGTATGTGGAAAACTATAAATGTAGAGTGAAAGGGAGCACTTTTCAAAAAAATTTACAGTAACAATTCAAGATCTCTTTCTCTGGGATTGAAAATAGGACATTATTGACAAATAACCACAGTAAAGAAATTAATCCTTAAGTCTTCTCTTCAAAACTGGTCAAAAGTCAAAGTCTTGATGTGCTAAATGTTAGTGAAGGCTCAGATTGCTTTTTTATTGCAGCCCATCTCCATCTGATCTGTCAGACCAGTTGGAGAAATAGAGAGTTTATACATCATCTGTATTATAGGTATTATAGCAACTGAGAGGATTCCAGTGTACTTTCTTAGTAGTGATCCAGGTTCTGAAACAACTGATCCTGCACTGACCTCTCTAAATATTTTACATTAATTAGTGTCTGGTCTCTTTAAATCTGGATATGGAATTTTTAAAAATCCTGCACTGTAGGTTCTGTACACATGGTATGAACTTTCTCGTCCTTTATTAAAAAAGGCCATAAAACCCTGAAAATTGGGATTTTTTTCACAAGTCCAAAACCTATAAATACAGCTGCCCTGAGAGTTCATGTACTACCTGTGCTGTGCACTCTTAGCACACCTCACTTCTTCAGCTTAATTAAGCTATTTTTAACAAAATAATTCAGAAAAAGTAGAAAATTGAAGAACTGAACTAGCTTTTTCCCTGTGGTTTATTCTATCAATTACTTCCATTTTCCTTTGGCAATACTGTAGTAGTTTCTTTGTTTTCGATCCTTCAGCTGAGAATACTCTGACATGAATTGCAGATATTTTGGCACTATAAACTCAGTCATTTTCATGCAGCCCCACTAATGAACCCTTCTAAGTGCTATATTGTCATTCTTAACTACTCATTTGCTGTGATAAAAGTGGAATTAGTCCATAATACCATTTCAAATTCTGAAAAAGCAAGCTGAGTCGACAGGCTAAGGCTTTTTAAAGCTCTGCCTCTGCAACAAAGGAGGTTCAGGAACAAATGAAGTTCAGAGACAACAACATTGTGAAATTAGAGAATCCTTTCTTTTGAGTGAAGTTGTGACTTAAAAGCAAGGGACAATGGTGATGCAGAAGCATCTGTACCAGTGCATGTAAGTATCATGGGGGTAAAGATCAGAATTTGACTGCCATTGGAAAATGCCAAATAAAACAAGGTGATTAGTAAGACATTTTAGAGTTGTTGTTTTGTGGGGCTTTTTTCATGTTGGAAGTAAACTCACTTGGAATGGTGGGCTGCATCCTTACTGGCTTTCACTCATCTGTAACCACACTAAAAGCTTCATTTGAAGAATCAAACCAAACTGGGCTTGGTGAGAAAACAAGTATCATTATGAAAACTTTAATGTTAAAAATGAAGTCATTGTGCCTACACACACATTCTCCTCAGGTCACCCAGCAGCTAAACTCTAGGCAGTGCCCTGTCCCTGGTAGCTCTCAGCACAGCTGGTTTGGGATCCTTTTCACTGTCCAAGGTTTCCTGCAGTTTTCTTTGGAATTCCACATTCAGTACATGGATCTCCCATGCAGTGCCAACTAAGCATTTGTATATGCCCATTGTATAATGATGCAGTGCTTATTCTCAGTCAAAAAAGGTGGTTTGTATTTTAAACCAGCTACTTCTAACGCACACTTTTTACAGATACAAAATTCTTGCAGAAGACCTGGCAGTCAGAGCTCTCATATGACACCCACTTAGGTCACAGATGCTTCACATTGGGAATACTCTGCATTTTTTTTCTTTGACATTTTACTTTATCCTCTGCTGTGAGGCTCAATGAATGGGAGTTGTTGATCCCTCATTTCCAGCTCTGAGAGTCCCAGCTGTTCTGGGTGTTACTACACACAGCATATGAATTACTACAGCTTTTCTTGGAAAATAAGAGAAAAATTAAACATTTCTTATTTAAAGCTTTAACTCCTTGAGGGGAAGGATGCCTATACAGGGAACAAACCCAGGCAGACAGGAGTGTTTACCAGCCTGAAAAACCATACTCAATTTTAATGAAACAACCAAAAATTACTTTTATCTACAAAGGAGGAAAACAGAATTCAGCTCTGGATCAGGACTAACATGGCAATGTGTCTGATGCTGCTGATTCACTTAACTTACTTCACAATCAAAAACGTTTTAGTTACTGAGGCTTCAGCCCATTCTGGGACACTGGATTCAGGTTATTTCCCCTCTCACATGTCATTGACAATAGGAAAATCCTACAGGCCAATTTAACTGCTTGAGGTCTTTACACATCCTCTTTATACTCAGCAGAGTCAAAACCAAAAAACAAAGCAAAAGAAGATGCAGCTTTTGAATCAGAAGTTGATAGTTCTGTCCAAGGCACATCAGACAGGAAAGAGGGTTCTGCTGTCTCCTCAACCAGTTCAATACTGCCTCATTAAAAATGAACGATAACGACAGAGTTAGTTGTTAAAATCAATAGGAGAAATTCTGATTATCGGGAATCTGAGTGCAAAGACAGTCACCTCTTCAATATAAAACAATGCCTTAACTACCATCATTTGAGCTCTATAATACTTCAGAAAATTTCTGTGCTGAGTACACAGGGGAACATCCATTGTGGTGACCCCACCAGAGCAGAATCCCTTCCCTCATCATTCAGGTCAGAGAGGACTCAC